CGAAGGCAGTAGTGTCACACACAAAAACAGGAAAAGCCCAAGGGGAACATCAGGTCAGCCAGATAACAAACTTACATAGGAAAAGGAATCAAATAAAAAGTATTAAAGAATCCCTATAGACAAAAGCCTAAGTAATTAAGAAAACTAGACAAATAGGAAAAGGAAACAAAAGATAATTTAGAAAACCCTTACAAACACAGGACATACCAAATAAGCAAAACAAACAGACAAAAGACACAAAATATAAATTACATTTAAATTAGGGACAGACAGATAAATTACATATAAATTAGGGACAGACAGGAGATTGCCACAGAACAAATATGAAAAACTATATTAAAGCTAAAAGAGATTACAGAAAACCAATAATACAAGCTGGCCACCCCGCGGAGTTTGCCCTCCGATGGAAATAAAGACAAACTCAAACAGGGTTTGAAACATTAGGCACAAATACAAACACTCACACAAAATCAACTTACAAAGGGAGAAAAGGGTATAAAAACCAGGGACTTACCATAAGAAGCTAGCTAGCCCAGGAACGCAGACTTCTCACTGTTCTCCGCCTTCCTGAAAAATAAAAAGATCCAGCTTTCAAGCAGTTGCCCGTATCCTTGCGCTGGAGCTCTCCCAGTGGGAAAATCGAATCCTCGAAAGAAAGGCATTTTGACACCTTTCAACACTATCAAACATGAAGGGAAATTGCAAGTGAGATTAATTAAATCATTGTGCTGATGGGGTTTCTCCTTGGTTCCAGGTTTAAGTATTTTTGATGTTTTAGAAGAAAATGAAACTAATCATAGTGTTATTAAGAAGCCTCCTCAAGACTTTCCTTGTAAAACTGTATTGGCCAACTACAGTATTACTATCTAGATTTTTGTATTCATTTCTACTTATTCATTTCTTTCACAGTAGCATAAAATTAATGGAGAAATTTCCACTTGCTAAAATGTAGTAATACTAGTGTACTAGTGTTTATAGAAACCAAACAAAGAGTTCTCCTTGGACCTTGGGCAACTTTACAACCACTTCTTTGCAAAACTCTAGTGTAAGAAAAATTGAACTATTCTGAAACAAGGGTTAATAAACAGACTAAGACAGTTTTTAAAGCCAAATTAAGAGCTTTCATCTTTATAAACACAGCTCTCCTATGGAATAATATAGCAGATACTCATCTTTTTATCCTATATACCTTGTGGGTGAGAGTGGAGGAATGAGAGTGTAAACAGTCCAGTTAGTTTTCAGCACTCTCAATTGTTCCCCTTCTTGTTTTTATTGGTGCATTGATTTGTCCACGGAAGTCCAATTTGTCTACAGAAGTCCAATTGTTAGGGTGCAAGAATGTTCCAACAAGAATTTTGTTATTGCTGCTGACAAATCCGAGGTTTTAACTTTTCACATATTTAGCAATGTGCTTGTTCCAACTGAACACTGAACAGGCTAGCAGAATTCCTCTTTGCTGTGTGATCTTTCTTTCATCTTTCTTTAAGGGTTCTTTAGAGAATTAAGCCTTTTTCTCAACAGTTTCCTAATTATGAGTTGAGATTGTTGCAGTATAGAAATAAAAGGAAATGCTTTTTCTTTATAGTTATCTGTTGTAACATCAAACCCTTTACTTGAGTCTGTTGCTGTTTGCTTTCAATTCCTGCTACTTTCCAGGGATTCCTTCCATTTGAGAAATATCTCCTTTTCTACCTTGAAATCTGTTCTTGTGTCTGAATGACAACAATAAATATGTTGGATATTTATAATTAAACATTTACTATATCCATAAGTGTACTTCTTTTTTATAACCAATATAGACTTTCACCATGGGTATTTTTAGGCAAGATTTGGCTTCAGGTTTAGTGACCATGGTTTAGAGAACAGATTTTCTGATGTTTTGCCAGGAAATGTGGTTGATCCTAACTGTATTGTGCCAGCTTCAGATTGGTCATTTTTTGACTGTTGATTCCTAATTGGTTCTTTGTGCTGGGTCCTGGTTGACTCCTTGTCCAGACAAGTTTCTGATTTGCCCATTTGGGGAAGCTGATTCCTGGTTTGTCCTGCTTTTGGACAGGAATTTGGTGTGGCACAGAGTAACATGCTGTCAGCCTTCAAGATTTTTTTCCTTAGCTTTGCATCTTTCGGCTGTTATAAGTAACGGGGGGAGGAAGGGGGACATGATTATGGGAAGCGAGCTGGAGGTTTAACAAAACAGAACTGTATAAGTTGGGGGGGAAGTTTCTTGCTTAGGCCTCTATCCTATGCTATGTGCAACTGCAACTCTTTATCAAAATATGCCAAGGTCAATGGACAGAGGCCTCATCACCATCTGGAGATGCCCACATGATGCTATACAAAACTTTTAATTGGATGAGCCAATTGAACAATTGGAGGTGGGAACGTTGCCATCACTTTGTATATGTGATTTACATGCTCATTTTCTCAGATTCAGAATTCTTTTGTTGCTACCACTTGATTTCCAGTAAAAGATATCTTTTCTCTAATTAATGGAGTCTAAGTATTTCTTTCTTGGATTTTGAATGGAGCACCATATGTTACTTGTATTTCAGAAACTTGCCTAAAGATCAATGTTATGAATAATAATACAACTTTTACTATAAGTAGCAGAATCTTGCAAGTCTAAATGACCCTCTTCCCTCTTACTTTTACATTCAAGAGAACCAGAGATGGTATTCAGCAGATTCTGACCAGTTTGGGAGAACCAGTAGCGGAAATTTTGAGTAGTTCAGAGAACTGGCAAATACCACCTCTGACTGGAGATTTCACAGTATCCTTCCCCTACCAGGCCCACCAAGCCACACCCACAGAACCGGTAGTAAAAAAAATTGAATCCCACCACTGAAGAGAACTAGGGAGGGTCAAATCTGAGATGCTCAGATTACATTTCAGTTGTATTTCAGCCAATTACAGTTAGTTTCTGGAGAAAGGGCTTGTGTTTCTTTCTAATACATGGACTGCCATTTGTGTAGGGAGAAGGCACTGTCCACCCCTATGATTGACAAAGCTAGACTTCAGAAAAGATTATATGTGACCCAGTGTAGAGTATATCAGTGTTCACAATATACGTGGTGGAACGTAGTCTGGAGTCACTGCAGGGAGGGGCTCATTTTCACAACTGTCATTGATTGCCAATTTTTCACTGTGTCATTATCTACCCAGTAGAGTGCTAGAGTACCTAAAAGCTTCCTGTACTTACACTATGAGTGTCGTACTATGATATGTAGGTTGCAATTGTAAATATTTACACTTTCATTTTTAAATATAATAAAGCTTGCAAGGTCTGAAGAAGACTTCTGATTTCAGGGTGCTTTTAATAAAATACCCCTTCATAAACAGAATGCAAGCATTTCTGTAAACTTGATTATCTGACTTTAATTCCTCCTCATGACAGCTCGTATTGCTTGAGCATCTTTTCTGATTTAGGTATTTTCCCTGTCCTCTACTAAATCCCTTTCTGTTCTTGTTTTTCATTCATGTCCTGCTCCACAGTTCTTAATTTTTTCCTGCTACAAAAGGGATGGTTTAACATTTGTTATGCTTTTACCATTTTTATGGTATGATGTTTGTTTCCAGGAATATTTTTGTGAGCTACAGAATTTAATAATAGTGAATAAATCCTGACTTTTTAATTGGCAGCTTTCCTGTGCTTTAATCCTTCTTTTGCTTTTTATTCTTTGCTCTCATCCTGCTGGTCTGATCTTTTCTGCTACATAGTGAGGCAGCTGAACAGTTTCTTATTATTAACAGTGCCTTGTTTAAAGTTTTCAATCATAAAGCAAATGATGATTCATCTGAATTTGACTATCTTTGAAATTATACCTGGGTGTCTTCCTACCTCTCCTTTCCCAACAGATTATACAATAGCACTGATTAGTAGCAACATTTGTAATACCTCTTAAAGATTTGTCATAATGGAATACTGTCCGTAATAGTATTTAATTCACTTATGTCTACACAATTCATCTCTACTGGCTTCTGTTCATTTCTTCACTGTATATTCTCTGTCTGATCTCCACATAACAAGATATGATGTCCCCAAGTTATGAGTTAGGACCAAATGTCAAAAATGCTAATAAATGGCTTTGAGTCTTTGAAATTTACTCCACTAATTGCTATTTACATTTGCATGTCACATTACTATACTTCTCACAAATGAACTTAATATAGGTGATTCATTAAATTGAGAGGAAAATATGATAAAAGTGGCATTGATAATATTGGCTAACAAGAAAATATATTTTAGAAGATATCTATCTTTTAAAAGGGGCTTCATTAGATTTACCATTCATTTTAAATGTAATTTATGTTTGTACAGTGATGAATATATATATATATACAGTAGGCATTTCAGCCTTGTCTCTGAAAAAACTTGGAAAGAGACTAGAAATTTATTGTTGATAATTATAGTGAATTTGTGTTTACTTTGCCTGCTTAACATCTGCTACTACAGAGAGCCCTTATTTAGCAGCTGCCTTGTTTAGTAAACAATTGCAATTATGACAATGATAAAAATAATGTAACTTTGAGACCAATCCTCACATTTGCAGGTCTGTAAAGCAAAGGAAAGCGGAAAGATTATTGTAAGCACAGTTGTGACTTCACTTGGCAACTGAATTGAATTGAATTCTTTATTGTCATAGTGTGTATACACACAGTATACATACAACGAAATTCATATAACACCCAGAAACCAGATCCAACATGTATACACACATGACAATCCCTGAACACCTCCCCACCCACCAAAATTCCCTGCCTCCTAAAAACACACAAGCGTCCATAAATAACTGCTTTATTTAACAACCATGTTGCCAATACCAATTGTGATCACTAAACGAGGAATACATGTATATTCTGATGATGTGATTTTAAAAGTCAAATTATTATCATTAGCATTTGGCTTGCCATTAAATTGATGTAATCAAACTTCAGTTGAGTAGGCTTCCTGTTTTGTGTCAGCAATATGTACTGATGTTAGTTGTTCTTGTGTCTCTCAGGATCAGTGCAAAACATCAAGAACTCCGTCAGAAGCAGATCAGGGGACTTGCTGAATATTCCACAGTTCCTATGGGAGCCCCGCCTGATCTTGATGATGATGACACAGACCCAAATTATGCACGAGTGAATCACTTCCAAGAAGTATATCCAGTTATCAATTCCTACCATCTTTCTTGTCCATCTGTTTCTGAAGCTTATGGTGGGTGCAATAATCCTACAGCGCCTCTGGACAGGGACCACTTAGAAGGATTATATGCAAGGATAAACAAGCCATCCCATCAGCATGCTCCTGTTGAGAGGTAATACTTATGCCATGGGAGGGAAAAGTTAATGCATGTTTGAATATTTTTAAATGCAACAACCATATTATATGAAATTGACACAGTAACTATATTATATTTTGAAGAATTTGATTTGAGTATTTTTGTCAGTGCTTTCAATGATGTACTCCTGCAGTTTTACAACTGCAAGTGATATTATGTGAGCAAAATGAAGACCTTGGAACAGTTTGGAAATAAATCAGTGGATGTGTTTGTGAAGAATCCAAGAAGCATTCTATACATCTTTTTTATGAGCGGAATGCTTCACATACATAGCAAGCTTTCCACGCACCTTAGAATGTATCTTCCATAACTCCTCGGCATCCTCACAATTGAAGAAAAGATATTGTTATCCTTGAAAAGTATACCCTTTACTATCATTATGATTAAGTTGGGAGCTTCTGCTGAGCTTTTGCAGCCCTTGGCATCTATTTTCTGTGAGAAGGATTTCTTACCTTGCCCTTTTACCTGGGGAAAGTTGCAGGATTTTATTACTGCCTCAGCCAGGTACAGCATTCACAATCAATCGTCTCTTTTCCCCTTGTGTCTTCTCCTAATATCCTTTTGTTTTGATGATTTGTTAATAGTCAATGTCACTTTGGTCTCAACCTCCCAAACACATGCATACCCACAATAGAGAGGAAACAGTCCAAATGCAGCTTTAGCAATATGGCACCATTCCCCCAAGTGCTTCAGAAATGCAAATTTGGTCCCATGCTGCTATGATCACAGTTTTTGAAGTTTTTTTTAGCACAGGCTTAATGCTATATAGCCACTGAAGTTCCTTGTCAGCATATTCATATTCTCTCATTCTGAAGTCATTTGCTTTGTTTTTTTAATGAAGAGGGGGTCCCCTTGTTTACAATGTAGAATTTTACTCAAAGGGGATGAATGATCTTAAATGATCAAGAATTTATATTTGCTTAAAAGAGAACAAAATAAATTCATATCATTAGTAGATTCATTACTCAAAGTCATTATGAAATTGCAATTATTATCAAAAGGCTCTTCTTTCACAGACAGACTTAATTGACCTGCCTCAAATTAAATTTCAGGGCAAATTAAGTACTTTTCTTTCTGTGCTCTGAAGTCCTGTACCCTAACAGACCTTTGTGTTGAGGTTTTTGGGAAAGGGGAATGACATCATTTGTGAGGAAAAAAACCTAGCTGGTTGCTTATACACTGTTTTTTTTACTATGTAAGCTTACAGTTTGCATTTTCCATATTCTATGATATTATGTACTTTCAATTAATCCAGAGGAAGATCAGAGAATGATAGCATATTTATGCAGATTGCAAAACATAGTTTTATAAAATAGATTACTTTTTAGGGTCTTTTGAATAATAAACAGGGAGAAAGAGCCGTTTTTAATCCTTTATGTCAAATTTCTAGGATGATAGTATTATTATTATATTATATGAAAGAAGGCATGCATCCCCAGTCACAGTCATGGAACCATAACAATGAGGTTCTGAAATCTGGCACTGGAGATTACAAAAACTGTCTTTGTTGTGGCTTCCTGTGTTTAAACAAGACACTTTTGAGGAACTCTCCAAAAGTACAAACAAGACAGATAGCTGGAGGTAACTGAAGAGTGAGGAAGAAGTCACTACTGAGATGTGTGGAACTGTTTGGGGGGAAAAGCAAGCTTTGCTTATCTCTGTTTTTGAAATCAAAAACTGTATTGAATTGAGATTTGTTTTTGGAGAGGCAACTTCAACATTTCTTTATAGCAAACTTTATTTCAATCACTGTAACATTTAAAATGTTTTAGCTTTCTCATAGATATTATGAACAATATTGCTCATATTGTAGATATAAGTTTTAATGAATTAGGCCATATACTATATCATTTATATAATTAATTACAAAAGCTGACAAAGATGACTGGTTGTGGTTTAAACTCATGGTTTTCCCTCATCTGAGAAATCTGGATAATAATAATAAAAGTATATTTATCCTATGATGCTTTTGATAAAGTATTTTAAACCATGGGCTTACCTTTACTATAATGTTGGTATTTGGAGTTTTATTACTATTTGTTAAGTTTTTCCAAGTGTTTAAACTGCAAATGTTCTGAAAATGTCATGGATTCTTATTAAGATTTTACTGAGGTTTTATTCTGATTGGGGGTTCCTGCTGTTTATCTATTTTATGAGCTACCCAGAGTTGTGGTTAATATGAGCAACTATGTAAGACTTTTTAATTTACATCTATTTGTGTGTGTGTGTGGTGTGTGTGTGTGAATACACACACACACACACACACACACGCGCAATCAAATGGGTGTCTTTTGCCAAAAACAAGTAAAAACACTTTTGAATTGTGGTCATTTGATCACAGAACACTGTGAACGATCATGAAGCTGACCCATTTGACATGGGTTCATGTGACCAGGGAGGATTGGCACAACCATTTATGATGGTGGGGTTGCTTTATGGGCTATAAAGTGCCAGTTTTGTGAATGTCGTAACTTTGAACGGTCATAATATGAATGGTCATTACAAAAGAACTATCTGTATAGAAAGTGAGGCTTCTCAAACTAAAGGGAAAAAATGGAATATGAACAGCAGCTGTGTCTCCTTTGTTGCCTATCCTCTGTGTGTGCAAACCCCACCCCATATACCATCCACTTATTCCATTCATGTATGTTCTGTAAGGACATCAATTTCCAAATCATTCTGTTTTACACATACACAGATCTAAACGTGGTGTCTCTATTATCATAACACTGGGATGGGGATCACTGGTTTTAGTATCATAGGCTAATGTTTTTCTAGCATAATTTTTATTGTGTGGTTCAGACCTTTTTTTTTTTACCATAGCCCCAATTTTTGAAACACACACACACTCCTGCTAGATTAGAATATTGATCTAAGAAAACTGCTTGTAGTAAAATTCTGATGATCTGATCCTTAAAAAAATATTTTTTTTTCACAAACTAAAATACAGCAAATAATTACTTTAAAACTGAAGGAAATACCAAGAAAGGAAGAGTAAAGAGTAAAAAAAAAGAACCCTAAACCAGTGTTTTTCAAACTCAGCAACTTGATGGAGAATTCTGGAAGTTTAATCCACATATCTCTCTGAGGTTGAGAAACACTGACTTTCCTAGTGAAGCCACTCCTGTCACACGTGATCAGGTGAAAGTAGGGAAACCCCTTAAACTTTGACTTGAGTTCAGATGGAATTGTTTTAGATACATGTACAGGAAATCTGACCTCAAACACAAAGTTTAAGTCTAGAATTGAGATGCAAATTTCAGTTTAGAAATTATTGCTTTTGTTTTCTGTTTAAGAGCCTCTCCCTTTTTATCACCCTGTAATCCCTTAATACAGAATAGAGTTGGGGCGACTAGATAAGGCTGACCGTTTTCCTGACCAGATGCCCTTCCTGAAGCCATGTGGAATTCTCAGCAAATATTTTTCTTTGTGTCCTAAGAGAGAAACCTCTGCCACTACTAGGATTGAACTCTCAACCTTCTGAGTGGGAAGTTGAGAGTGGAAGATGAGAGTGTTCACCACTTGGTCACCACACAGCTCATGGTGTTTAAGACTCTCATTTGAAAGTAAAATAGGTATTATTGTGATACATACAAAAGTTCACTGAAAAAAATTGAAAAGTTGTTGCTGGCAAGGACCTCCCCACCACGTATTGAAAAATAGTTTTAAAACAATTCACTGATATTTATTTTAAAATGTTAATTTATGTTTATATTTCAATTTTAGATAAAATTCCATGATGCCCTTTAAACAAAAATAGATTTTATTTCCTCCACCAGGCAGCTCTGTAATAGGAATTTTAACTTTTTATGTCCGTACACATTATTTTTTTTAATCTGCCATTTAATTTTAAATGCTAATATGAGTGTGAGTAATTAAAAAGCCAAAATTGACTATGAAGTTAGTAAGCTGCAAATATGGGAAAAGAGAGATCATTATGGCTCTGTTCATGGATAGCTATTTGCAAAACAACTGATAATGTGCAAAATGAAGATTTTATAAGTGGCATTTTAAATCAATGGTTAATGGCTTAAAGATTAATTAAATAGAGTTATACCAAAGAGAACCTGCTACTATCTTGTTTATAGGCCAGTCATTTACAAAGTGAAAGTGCAGGAAAGCTATGCTACTTCCATTTTGCAGACAAACAATTTAGAGTATTTTATTTATCGACAAATGGCAGTCTGATCTCTTCTTGAAAGTCGACCTGAATCAAATAAAACCAATGTTTCGCAGTGTTTCGAACTGGTCTGTAACCTGCCCCTCCAACCCGGTTTTCTGGTTGAAGATTTTCCGTTGAAGGTTTTCCGGTTGAAGATGGCGCCCAACAAGGAGGGTGAGGTTCTAGCTCCAAGAGAGCTTATCACCTTTTAGATCCTTATGAACTTCCACCTTCATCAGAAGTCTCCTGAAATCATGCGCTAAAGCTCCCATGAGTAACCAAGATCCCTTGGCAAGCTCCCGCAGTCTTCTCCAGCAACCATAGCCTTTCATCTCCGAGCCCCTGCGAAGCGCAATTCCCCGGTGGCAGGGCAGGGCAATTTCCCAGAGGTAGGACCATTGGACAATCTCCCACAGCCTCCCCAGCAGCCGTAATGCCTGAGCCCCGAGCCCCAGTGGAGCACAAATACCAGGAGGCAATTAAAGAGCCAGGAGGCAATTAGAGAGCCAAGCTGGAGCACAGCCTTCCCCACTCCGCAGCCTTTCCCACTCCACCTTCCAAGCCCCGGACAAATACAATTCACCAGAGGCAGCCAGAAAGCCAAGCCAGAATGGATTTACAGTCAGCCAGTCTAAATCCCAGCAAGAAAAACTTATTGTTTTTTGTTGTTACCAGTGAACAATCTTGCTAGAAAAATAATCCTACAATCATCTACCTTACCAAACAATCTCTCACCATCCTCTGCCTCATCAGGAAACAATTAAAAAAAAGAAACCACGTGGCTTTAAGGAGACTCCCAGTCCTAAGATTCCTT